CTCCCATTCCACTCCACTGGAGCTGGGCAGGGGTCAGGGTTTCTGGACACATTCCTGGGGCCTGGAGTGGGCACCATGAGGGCTTGCAGTGGGATGGGAATGTCTGGGAGAGGGAAGTAGAAGGAGCAGCTTCTGCTCCTTCGTTTCCCTTTTCTCTCTGTTTGGCACAAAGCGTGTGTTTAAGGACTGTCTCTGTACACTGCACCCATACTTCTTCATTAACTGCTCTTCCCAGCCCCAGATAATGAGTGCACAGCTCACAGTGTGGCAGCAAGCCCTGTGGCTCACACTTGGCCTGAAGGCACCTGGGAACCCTGAGGACTGCTGACCCATAGCCCCAGGACACAGGGGGCCACAGCTGGGAAATGCTTCTGCAATCTTGCCATTTCTGTCAGGGATTACAAGAAGTGCTTCTACAGATACATCAATAGCACAAGGAGGGGCAGGGAAAACCTCCATACTTTGTTGGGCATGGGGGGGAACAGAGTCACCAAAGATGAGGAAAAGGCTGAGGTATTTAACAGCTTCTTTGCCTCAGTTTTCAACAGTAAGACAGGTTGTCCTCAGGACAAGTGGCCTCTGGAGCTGGTAGACAGAGACAGGAAGCTGAACAGCCCTCCTGTAATCCAGGAGGGAACAGTCAGTGACCTGCTGAGCCACTTGGATCCTCACAAGTCTATGGGACCAGACAGGATCCACCCAAGGGTGATGAGGAGCTGGCGGAAGAGCTCGCCAAGCCTCTCTCCATCATTTACCAACAGTCCTGGCTCACTGGGGAGGTCCCAGATGATTGGAAGTTGGCGAATGTCACGCCCATCCACAAAAAGGGCCAGATGGAGGACCCAGGAAACTCCAGGCCCATCAGCCTGACCTCAGTGCCTGGCAAGGTTATGGAGCAGATCATCCTAAGTGCAGTCCCACAGCACCTACAGGATGGACAAGGGATCAGACCCAGCCAGCACAGGTTTAGGAAGAGCAGGTCCTGTCTGACCAACCTGATCTCCTTTTAAGATCAGGTGACCTGCCTGGTGGATGAGGGGAAGGTGTGGATGTGTCTCCCTGGACTTCAGCAAAGCCTTGGAGACCGTCTCCCATGGCACACTCCTGGAAAAGGCTTGGACAGGTGCACTTTGTGCTGGGTTAGGAACGGCAGGATGGCTGGGCCCAGAGAGTGGTGGGGAACGGTGCTGCATCCAGTTGGGATCTGGTCACTAGTGGTGTTCCCCAGGGATCAGAGTTGGGCCCAGTTCTGTTTAATATCTTTACTGAGGATTTAGATGAGGGGATTGAGTCCACCATTACCAAATTTGCAGATGACACCAAGTTGGGGGGGAGTGTTGATCCGCTGGAAGGCAGGAGGGCTCTGCAGAGGGACCTGGACAAGCTGGAGAGTTGCGCTGATTCCAAGGGCATGAGGTTCAAGCAGGCCAAGTGCCGGGTCCTGCACTTTGGCCACAACAACCCCCTGCAGCCCCATGGGCTGGGGACAGAGTGGCTGGAGAGCAGCCAGGTAGAAAGGGAGCTGGGAGTGTGGATGGACAGGAAGCTGAACAGGAGCCAGAGTGTGCCCAGGTGGCCAAGAGGGCCAATGGATCCTGGGCTGGCTCAGGAACAGTGTGGCAGCAGGAGCAGGGCAGTGATTCTTGCCCTGGACTCAGCACTGGTGAGGCCACCCCTGGAGTGCTGTGTCCAGTTCTGGGCCCTCAGCTCAGGAAGGACATTGAGGGGCTGGAGCAGGTCCAGAGGAGAGCAACAAGGCTGGGGAAGGGACTTGAGCACAAGTGCTGTGAGAAGAGACTGAGGGAGCTGAGGGTGTTGAGCCTGGAGAGGAGGAGGCTCAGGGGAGACCTCCTGACTCTCTGCAACTCCCTGACAGGAGGTTGTAGCCAGGTGGGGGTCGGGCTCTTCTCCCAGGAACCAGCAGTAGAACAAGAGGGCTGGGTCTTGAGCTGTGCCAGGGGAGGTTTAGGTTGGATATTAGGAAGCAATTTTTTCCAGAGAGAGTGCTCAGCCATTGGAATGGGCTGCCCAGGGAGGGTGGAGTCAGCGTCCCTGGAGATGTTTAAGGTGAGACTGGATGTGGCCTCAGTGCCATGGTCTGGGAACCACGGTGGGGTTGGATCAAGGGTTGGACTTGATGATCTCGGAGGTCTTTTCCAACCTGGTTGATTCCATGATTCTGTGATTTATGGTACTTAGCAGTTGCCTGGTGATTCCAGCATCACCAGGAGGAATGGCTGGGGCAGAGCATCCCGGGCTTGGGGAAAACTTATTTCAGGGATGTCAGGAGCAGCATCTGTTCAGGGTGCAGCAAGGTCACCCTGAGGACCTGCAGGGACACCAGAGCAGGCAGCTGGGACTGGAGGGACATCCTGGGACCCTCTCCTCAGTTAATGCCAAATGCTGGAGACATGTTCTTGAAGGGCTTTGCAAAGATCCATTCATACTATTATTTCCTGACCTCTTATTCTTTTAGAAGTTTTGGGTAGCTGGACCCAGCATTTTTGTTTTATAAAGGACAGGTAAATGGGTGTTGGGACTAGATGATCTTCAAGGTCCCTTCCAACCCAAACCATTCTACGAGTGCCCTGCCTGCTTTGCATGCCATTTGTTGGGTGAAATGAAGCACGTGCATTTCATGCTGGCACTGTACCTTGCCAGGAGCTATTAGCACTGCTTCCCAAAACCTCCTGGGTGAAGCAGAAGCCAATGTGATCATCTTCCTATTTTCAAGAGTCACCCAAATTCACAGAGTGCCGCCAGTTACAGGTCTGAGTAGCAGAGCCCAAGTCACCTGCTGGGGTAGACTCATGCTGTGACACACCAAGGCCCCAGCTAACTCCTCATTACCTGAGGGCAGGTGAGGTGCAGTCAGCTGCCTGCTTGGCCTCTCCAGGCTCAGCCACCTCAGGCCTTGCAGCTCAGCTCACCACAGTGTGACTTTCCCAGCAACCCGATGGCCAGGGCCCTCCAGGAGTCAAAGCCAGGTCATGCCCTATGTCCCTGCATCCTATCCCGGGGTGCCACAGAGCAGTCATTATGGTTTCCTTTCCCTTACTCAGTGTCAGCAGACACTGCTGTCTCTGGGGACTGAGAAGGGGGTTGCTCCAAGCCCCGAAGGCTCCCCTCGCTGACCCCGGCCGGGGTGACGTGCACTCCAGCTCAGCCTGGCAGCCCGGCCACTGCAGGCTCGTAGGCACGTGAGGGCTGGGCCACCACAGCTTCCTGCCCACTGTGCCCTGCACTGGCAAGATTAAAGTAATTTCCACGGCCTCAGTACAGCTGCCACCCAGCACTGAAGCTCCCCGACCGCAGCCCCCCGGCCGGGCCCTGCAGGGACTGGCAGCCTGTGCTGGTGGTCCCAGGATGGTGAGAAGTTCACTCCTCTGCTGTATTGTGTGTGCAGCTTCTTCCCCCAGCAATAAATCACTGGGGCTGCACGCTGCCTGGGAGGGGGCTGCCACTCCTTTTTTGCAGTAAAAGCCCAGGGCAGGGTGCAGCAGAGACCGAAGTGCTTCCCACACCAGTGGAAAGGAAGAGAGGGCCATCCCATTAAACCAGCCCTTTAAGGCATACACCAGCACAAATGGGGGCAATTTACCCTGGGACATGTTTCACCCTAACAAGATTCATTCTGCTGCATTTATTTGTATCCACTCCTCTCCAGCATCGGGATTAAAGGTTAATTTCTACACTCCCACTGCAGCCAGCAGGAGCCATGTTGTAAGCCATGTAGTAAAAGCAGCAAAATAAAACCCCGTGGGCAGCAGGAGCTGTTGGCTTCAGGCAGGGACCAGATTGGGGGTCAAGTGTGGTTATGCTGTGACTTCTGGGTGTCTCCTGTAGATCCTCCCCCCCCCGTGCCCAATGGTGCTGGGCACCTCCATTAACTGAAACTGCCGTGGCCAGCTCAAAATGCCCTCCACGGACATCCCAAATTTTCTGCTTAGGACTGTTTCAAGCATCATGGGCTTCTGCTCTCCTCCCTGCAAGGTGGGGTAGGAGCTCTACGGGGTGGCAGCTCTCCTCCCGAAATGGTTTACACTCTTCCGCAAGATCCTTCAATTACAGGAGACTAAATGTTATTTAATTTGTGACCTCGGGTTGAATAAGACACAATTAAATTCTGCCTCTTGTGAATTTGCAATGGGGAATTCTCACCTGTGATGCCAGATGAGTCCTAACTGTTCCATGCATGACTCAGACACCCAAACTGCTCCATTAATGACTGTTTTAATAAATGTTCTATCTTTATATGGACAATTTCCTGCCATGTGACAAACCTGGCACAGAGTCAAACCAAACCCTTGGTCCTTGTGCTGAGGACGAAGGCAAGCCTGGTGCTGCTGAGCATCCTGGGGGGCTGTGACACCCCTGGGATGTTCCTCGTCTGCAGGTCCCCCCAACCTCTGCTCTTCTCGCAGGTGGGGTAATGACCGTGTACCCCACCCAGGGGGTTCAGCCCCTCACTCACCCTCAACCCCCTCATTTGTGTCCCACCAAAGTTTCTCTTTGTATGAGGCTCCCTCAGGGCAGCAGGAGAAGGGAAGAGGGTGTCCGAGAAGCCTCGAGACTCCGTCCCGTCCCTTCGGCAGGGTCAGCACATCCCCCGCACCCTTCCAGTCCTCCACACGCGCGTCCTCGGGGCGCTGCGGGCGGGGCTGGGCGCCATCGGGGCTCTTATGGCTTCAGCTCTTATTTTTCGTCCATGTCCTCCCTGCCCACGCTCCCCGAGCCCCTCTCCCCGCCAGCGGCCCCGGGGGCCCCAGCCCTTCCCCTCTCCCCCCGCACGCCGGGGGTCCCCAGCCCCTTGCCGCCCCCTTCCCGCGGGCTGTGCCCCACTCTGGGCCCCGTGGCTCGGAGGCGCCCGAGCTGCCCGCCCGTGTCCCCCGTGTCCCCCCGGCCCGCTCCCCCTGTCCCGCCGGCCCCGCCCTCCGGCGCCGCCCCCCCATTGGCTGCGGGCGCGAGGGGGCGGGGCCGCTTTGTGACGTCACGCTCAGCTGTGGGAAGGTCCCGATTTGTGCGGGGGAGCGGCGGGTGCGCGGCACAACCGGGGGGGTCTGCTCGGCACCCACCGGCACCGGCACCGGCACCGGCACCGGCACCGGCACCGAACAGCACCGCCACCGCCAGCGCACGGCACCGGCTCTACCTCAACGCCTCCTGCCGCCCCGACACCGCCACCACCGGTGAGTCCCGCAGGACGGGGGTCGGGCCGCGGGGTTGGGGCTCAGCGGGCTCTCTGCCCGTGCGGGCAGGGGGCACCCAGAGGGCGGGTGTCCCCGGGACCCCCCGGCGCCGCGTCCCCCCCCCGCCTGTTGTTTGTTTCTTCATCACCGGATTAAGACTCGCGGCCGTTCCGCGCTCCCATTGGCTGCGCTGCAGTGACGTTGCCTCATTTGCATATGACATTGAGACGTCATAACTGTCCCCCCTGTCCCGCGGTGACCCCGCCGGGCCCGGGGGGGACATGGGGGCACGTGGGAGGTACCCGCAGTGGCCACGCGTGGGTGGCCCCGCGTGTCCTTCCCGTGCCAGTCGCAGCTGTGGCTCTTTCCCAGCAGGAAACATGGGTGTTTCCCCCCCCGTGTTGTTTAGAGGCTGTTTGGCTTTTTGGAAAAAGAATGTGAATGTATAATTATAAATGTAATATAAATATATGTAAACATATAAAATATACAGAATCGTTTTGGGTTGGGAAGGACCTTAAGGATCATCACGTTCTAACCCTCTGCCATGGGCAGGGACACCTTACTGTACTATATAGTATATATTATACACTATAAAATATAGTGTATATAATATACTATATAAAATAAATACATGTAAAGAATGTAAATATATGCAAATCTAGAATACAGAAATGTATTATCTATTTTACTGATTTCCAGCAAATCCTTGGTGCTTTGGAATCCCTCCATCTTTAGATCTTGCTTTCCTTCATAAATCCCACTGGTTTTAATGAGATTCATATGTGTGCTTTCATATTTTTATTGAGTTTAATTGTGATTCCTGGGAAGGGACCACGCGTGGCAGGGGAAGGGTGCTGGCAGTGCCATGCTGACATCTGTGCTGTGGGGCAGCTCCACCACATCTCAGGATGCTGAGCCCAGGAGACCATCAGGTACCACATCCTTCTGTTATTGCTGCCCTAAGAGCACCTGCTTTGGGACAGCTAAAAAATGACATAAATCCTAAAGAGGCAACTTTCCTCTGGGTTTAATGGCTCTCGCCTCAGCTCAGCTGAGCCTGGCCTGGGAACTACTGTTTCCATCCAAGGGGGCTCACTGTGTTAAAGCTTGGATTCTGTGGAGTGTAACTGTAGAAATGTGTTAAAAAGTACATTATTGCTTTTTTAATTCTTTCATACATATGTCTTGAGTACAGTGGAGCTACAGCCCTTCCCAGAGTGCCTGAGCAAAGGCACTGGCACCCTGGAATCCCAAAATACTGGTTTTAAGTGTCTCTCTTGGGCCCAGCAACACGCAGTGCTGAAGCTGCACCAGCGAGGGCTGAACTGGGCAGGTGCCAAGTGCTGTCACTCATTTGGCCAAGGTTTTGCTGGGATAGGAAACCATCCCAGAAACCCTCCCAAAAGCAGGTGTTGGGCTCTGGTACAGGACTGTGCTGGACCTGCTTTCCCACTGGGTTTAGTCTACAAAGTGCCAAGAACTAATTTTTTTTACTCTAAAATAAATCTTTCCTCTCCTTTTATTTTTTGTCCTCCCCCCAAAAAAACCCCCAAACGAACACACAACAAAAAAAGACAAAAGCTGTCTGCTGTTGCTCACTGTCACCGTTAGGAACCTGTTGCATGAAACTGGTGCTTATCTGCCTGAACACAAAGGGAAAAGCATAATGAAAGTTTTTCCCCTGGATAATAAACCGATAGCACCTGGTTGTAGCAAGACTGGAAAAACCTGCAATGTGAAGATGTATCTATGAGGTTTTTAATGCTGATGGCACAGTGAGCCCTGCTCCAGCAAGGGGGGGCCCAAGTGGGCTTGGGGTAAATGGTGGGGAGCTTGGGGCTTCTGTGGTGTCAAAGTCCAGTGTGCCAGGTAGTTCAGCCTCTGTGATTTATGAGGGTGTAACGTTGGGCTGCTCCCCTCCTGGTGCTCCTCGGGATGCTTCACCTTGTGCATCCTAGAGAGGAAACTTCTAAAGTTTCGTAGGACAGCTCATGGCAAATCTAAAATTTCCTGGTTGCTCAGATCCTGCTGAACACTGACAGATTTTCCAGGACTGTGTGTGATGACATCACACTGATGCATTTGCATCAGCTGATGCAAATGGGGACACCAGCTCCAGGAAAAACATATTCTCCCAGTTGTGCAGGGTCCCCCTCCTTCAAGGGGGATCTGGAGGAGCATGTGGGGACTCCAGTCCCCACTGAGCTCCTGGACTGGCTTAGGAAAGCCCTTTCAGGTGCTGACTTGGTCTGCCATTATTAAGAAGAGTCTCATGATTAAGAGGGTTTTTTGGGATTTTTCTAACTGCTCTCTGCTTTCTCACCTCTCCACTCCCCTGATCTGCTGCAGAAGAGGCTCTAGCTGTGAATCAACCTCTGGTTTGTCCATGCTGGCAGCAGCCTTGGGGTGCAGCTCTGCCCCTGTGCCCAGGGCTCCCCCCAGGGGAACCCCCTTAATGAGGCTGCTGGCAAAGCAAGGGGATCAGTTGGAGCTGCAGCACAATTGTTGTGGGACCAGTGTCCCACAATTAATCCAGCCCTGCCAAACTGTCCCAGGCAGGCCCTTGTCCACTCTGGTTCCTTTCTTGATAGGGATGGATAGAGGACAGTACAGGGATGATGCACCAGTCATTTTTGGCGGTGATGAGCAGAGCCCCCCTAAGCTGTCCAGGTGCTGCACTCCTTTCTTTGTTCTGTGTTTCTGTGCCAGGTTTAGGACTTTGATACATCCAGCACAGAGAGCTTGTGAAATGCTCGTCTAATTTAGGTAAAATGAGTTGAAAATCCCATTTCCCAAGTGGGTTGGAGGAAGGCACCTGATTTATACCTCCACCGCCTGCCGGGATGACTGCGTGGGGTATTCTTAGCTCTGCCAAGGAAGGACCGCTCCTGCCGCCTGGCAGCAGCATCCCTCCCGCCGCCAAGTATTTATGGAAAGTTTCAGGGAACCTGTTGCCATTTCCAAGGGGAGTTGCTGTTGTTCTTGCAGACTGTGACTTTTAAGAGCTGCCAGTCCTGCGATGCTGCAGCTCCCACCCTGGCAAGCTCCGGGCGTATCCCGGGGCTTTACTGCTGCTCCCGTTGCCTATTCTTAGCTCCTGGAGTTATTTGCAGCAATGGTGACTCAGAAAACTAATTACCGTGTTGAGGTTTCTGAAGGGGAAAGAATAACGTGATGCATTGTGGTTTCCTTACTCCTACTTTAACTTTTAATATTTAATACTTTCTGGCTCATTGTAAAAGCTGTTGGACTTTGTGGAATTCTGATGGACTTCAGGATTCTGATGGACTTCAGGATTCTGATGGACTTCAGGATTCTGATAAACATTCATTTAGAAACTCATCTGTCCCCAAGTGAGTGTCACCTGTGGGCTGTCCCCTCATGCTGGCAGTGGATGGGATGGAGTTGTCATGCCAAGTAAGGAAGTTTGTGGAAGCCTAGGAAGGATGGCAGCTGTCCTGTGGTGGTGGCTCTGGCAGGAGGCAGGGGACAGGAGGTGGGTGTGTGGTTTCTGGAGCAGCTCAGCCCCAAGGATGTGGTGCATGGGCAGTCCCCTTGTGTCCCACGTGGAAGGACACCTGGGACACACCTTCTCCAGGCAGAAAAACCACCTCCTGGTCCAAACTGCTTATGTGGGCACCACCTGTGCCTGGTGACAAGGCACAGCAGTGACTTAAATCCCCTGGCAGGGACACATATGGGTCCCTCCTGTGCTGCAGTTCCTGTGAGGCTGCTGGCCCCAGTTCCCCTGGTGTAAATGGGGCAAACATTTCCCACAGGAAAAGCAGAGGCTTTCCAAATACCTGGAGAAACTTCAGAGCTTGATCTGCTAATGGCTGTGGGCTGTCCCAGCCAGAGAAGTACCTGGTGGAACCTGCTGAGACTGAGATGGCATATGGCAATCTCATTGTCTGGGTAGCAGCTGGCCAAGAAGTCTTTTACCTTGTGAAAGGCTGAAGAAGTCACAGCGCTCCATGATAAGCTGATGTTCTTGGTGGCTTGCAGAGAGGGTCTGGAGCAGCTGAAGGATGATGCCCTGATCACATTGGCCAGAAGCTACTCCCTTCTCGGGTGGCTGGGAGAGCGCAGACTCACAGAATGGTTTCAGTTGGAAGGGACCTTAAAGACCATCCTGTTCCTATCTCCCTGCCAATGGGCAGGGACACCTTCCACTAGACCAGGTTGCTCCAAGCCCCATCCAACCTGGCCTTGAACACTTCCAGGGATGGGGCAGCCACAGCTTCTCTGGGCAACCTGAACCTGGGCCTCACGACCGTCACAGGGAAGAATTTCTTCCCAATATCCCACCTAACCCTGTCCCCTGTCAGTTGGAAGTCATTCCCCCTTGTCCTTCCATCCCTTGTCCCAAGTCCCTCTCCAGCCCTCTTGGAGCCCTTTTAGGCACTGGAAGGGGCTCTAAGGTCTCTCTGGAGTGTTTTTTTCTCCAGGTGAACACCCCTAGCTCTGTCAGCCTGGCTCCAGAGCAGAGGGGCTCCAGCCCTCAGAGCATCTCCCTGGACTCTCTTCAGCAGCTCCATCTCATTCCTGTGCTGGGCCCCCAGAGCTGGAGGCAGCACTACAGGTGGGGTCTCACCTGAGCAGAGCAGAGGGGCAGAATCCCCCTCTCACCTGGTGCCCACAGTGTGGGGTGAGCCCAGGACTGGTTTCTGGGTACCAGCACATATGGCCAAGTCACATCCGATTTGTCACCCACCAGGATCCCCAAGTCCCTCTCCCTGGGGCTGCTCTCAACCCACCCCGCCCTCAGCCTGTGCTGATGCTGGGGGTTGCCCTGACCCAGATACAGGACCTTGCACTTGGCCTGGTTGAACTGCATGAGGTTCACATGAGCTTGCTCCTTCTGCCTGCCCAGGTCCCTCAGGATGCCTCATCCCTTCCTTCTGCTCAATCAACTTTACCACACAGTTTGGTGTCATCCACAAACTTGCTGAGAGTTTCTGAGATCAGAACCTCATCCTGCCTCTTTCACCTAAGTTTTTCAGAGCAGACAGGATAAAGTGAGGGGGAGGATTAACTCTCATTTTGGCCCTTGCCTGCCAGGATCTCACTCCTGCCTCCACCCTGCAGGTTTGATCTTGACGGCTCTGTCAGGAGCCCTCCACAGCTCCCTGGGCACCACCATGGGGCTGACTCTGCCACTGTAGCCCACCCATGCTCCACAGTACAGCATGGACCCCCTTGGCACCAGTGAGGGGTTCAAGGCCACCCCACGCTCCCTGGCTCAGGTAGGGTGATAGCTGGTGGCTTACTTGAATTCTTTGGGGAATGATCCTTTAAAATGATCAAGTTTTGCTCTTGGGGCAGTTTTTAACTCTTTCCTGCTTCCCCCAGAGCTGTCACAGCTGCCCATGAGCCCCTGTGCTCTGCCTGCAGCCCCCTGCCCTTTGCCTAACCCTCTGTAGTGCTGTGGGATTCCTCTAGAGCAGGACAGCCCCTGCTGACCCCTTATCACAGCGCTGACTGTGAGTGATGGGAGCGTGGTCCCAGGCTCTTTAATTATTGAGAGAAGGAAAATGAAGTTAAATTTGTGAGAGAGGACAATTGAAAATAATAGTGTCTGCTGTGTCTTCGGAAAAGGCAGGTTACCTCTGGGTTGGGGTGGGTACTTGGGAAGTCCAGACACCTTAGCCCCTGACTGGCCCATTGCCTGCACCCTCTGATTTTTTGGGGACCAGTCTTTAAGCAGCAAATGCTCTAAGGTGTTCCTGAGGGGGCAAAGAGGGAACAGCCTTTTTACTGTCCAGTTAAAACTGTTGTCATGTTTTAATGAAAGAAAACTAAAAGATTTTGACTGTGTCATTGGTCATTTGGCTTTGAGCTTGCTGGAGGATGTGCCAAGCCCACAGAGCGAAGGGAGCACTCTGGTGGTGCCAAGCCTGGCAGCAAGACATGCCAGACTGGCTTTGCTGAGGCAACAGGGAGAATCCTTGCCTGGCTCAACCCCTGGCCTATGGTAGCTGCTTGGGTGCTTTTCTGGGTGACCTTTCCCTGAAAGCCAAACTGGGGCTGCTGCCCTCCCCTGTCACCATGTGCCAGCTCTTGTCCCCAGCTCTGCTGTTGGGTGACATCCACACCTAGGCAGGGGGAGAGACTGAAAATTGCATGAGGCAGGCCAAGAGCATTGACAGTGTCCTCCCAGCATGGAGGGCTTGGGGTACAGCACAAGGGACCCCGCTGTCCCCAGCCCCAGTGTGTCACCCTGAGGACCTGCCTCATGACACTGGGTCAGCTTTGGCTCGGCAGTTCTGCCAGCCTTGGAATGCCCCAGCTCAGTAAGCATAGGAACCCTCTCCTGACCTCACACTGGGCCAGAGCCTTGGGGGACTGGAGCCCCCCATGGCCTCTGTGCCTGCCACAAGATGCCCTGTTCCCTCCTGCCTGGGGAGCTGGGGAGGAGAAAACAGCAGGAGACCCCGAGACATCACCAGCGGGTACCTGGGAACTGTGGGGTTTCTGCCACTCTTTGATATTTAATAAACTTCTTAAATAAATAACATTAATATAATATTAAAAGCTATTTACTGAATAGGCAAGTGCTCAGGCAGATGCCAGGTTTCTAGACAGAGCTGACATGTGATGAAGCTGTGGCTGTGTGCCACAGCCCTCAGGGCCAACCCTGGTGCCCTTTGCCAGCCTGACCCAGAGGAGGATGGGTGCACATGGACATCCTGTGGGAGGGGAATCCCATTCCCTCAGTGTGGAGCACACGAGGGAGCCCAATGAACCAGGTTCGCTCAGTGCCCAGCTGGGTGTCAGCCCCTCTTCCCGTTGTTTCCCTAACTTATACTATTATGCTTTAATGATGTGGTGGTAAAGGGAGTGTCTGGATAACTCAGTTGTGAGCATTGGAGGATAACAGAATAGCTGAGGCCTTGCCACAGTCGTGGCTGTGATGGGGGCTGGGAGGTGAGGGCTCAGGCTGCAGTCAGAGAAACAACTCTTGTCATGTCTCAGTGCCCAAAACCTCCCTGTTCAGTGCCTTCAGGGGAAGCCAGGGACCCTCTAAGGACACAGAGTAGGGAGTCCTCCCTGACCTCTGATTCATCCTGGTGAGACACTCCATGAGCCTCAGCCAAGCCATCCCAGAGGGACTGGGAAACTGGGCCGGACCCCTGAGCACTGGGATCTGGAGCTGGGTACAGCTGTAGCCCATGGTCTGCCCTGTGCCTCTGGGGCAACCGAGTCACCTGGGGCTTGCAAGGTGCTCAAGGGTAGTGTCATACTGCTGCCCTGGCCATGCCGGGGAGGGAGAGCTGTGTGCTTCAGGGCTGCTCCACCACTCCCTTCTGCACCTGGGGGTGTCAGAGAGCCCATGATGCCCAGGGGATCCCATCCAGGGGTAAGGCTCCCTTGATTTCTCATTTTCTGCCTTGTGGAGCAGATGTTGTACCTACCAAGCCACCTGAGAGACAGCAAAAGGCACAGCCATCCCACAGCGATGAATGATGCCTGAGCCCCAGAACTTCAGAGAGTGCCCAGGCCAGCCACCTTCCCAGGATGCTGAGGCTGGAGAAGCCAGGTCTGAGCTAAAACTTGAGCTGCTGGAGGACTGGAATGTGTATGGACACATTGTGCCTCCCTGCACCCTTCCTTTTCCACACTGCTTAGAGCAGGTAGGGCTTCACCAGGGTGGAGGAACACTCACAGGCTCCATGGCCCCTTGGTCAACAGAGCCATGAACTGGGGATTTACCCTCTGAATGCACCCATGTCAGTGTGCCAAGCATGGCAGCACCCCACTCGCTCCTCTCCCTTCATGGAGCTCCTGATGGCATTTTAATGCCCTTTAATGTCTCTGGACCAAAAGGTATTTTGTCCACACAAATAACAGTCTGCACCTTGTGGCTGCTGTCCCTGTGCCTTGCCAGAAGCTTGGCAGTCATTAATGAAGTTAGTGAGTGGTGACCTCTGCCCCCACCAAGGGAGATGTGCTTCCCCAGGGGTAAAACAACGATGAGCATAGATGGGGCAGAGACTCACCAGGGGCTGGGATGACAGGCTGGACATGAGCCAACAGTGTGTGCTGGCAACCCAGAGTGCCAACAGCATCCTGGGCTCATCCCACAGTGTGGGCAGCAGGTGAGAGGGGGATTCTGCCCCTCTGCTCTGCTCAGGTGAGACCCCACCTGCAGTGCTGCCTCCAGCTCTGGTGTGCTAGAAGGATGTGGGGCTATTGGAGCAAGTCTGGAGGAGGCCATGGAGATGCTCTGAGGGCTGGAGCTCCTCTGCTCTGGAGCCAGGCTGACAGAGCTGGGGGTGTTCACCCAGAGAAGAGAAGACTCCAGGGAGACCTTGGAGCTCCTTCCAGTGCCTGAAGGGGCTCCAACAGAGTTGGAGAAGGACTTTGGGCAAGGGGCAATGGCTTCCAACTGACAGGGGGCAGGATTAGGTGGGATACTGGGAAGAAATTCTTCCCTGTGACGGTCGTGAGGCCCTGCCAAGGGTTGCCCAGAGAATCTGTGGCTGCCCCATCCCTGGAAGTGTTCAAGGTCAGGTTGGACAGGGCTTGGAGCAACCTGGTCTAGTGGAAGATGTCCCTGCCCATAACAAAGGGGTTTGGAACAGGATGGTCTTTAAGGTCCCTTCCAATCCAAGCCATTCTGTGATTCTGTGATAACGCTGTCCTCACCCTGCCTGCTGTGAGGGCCTCGGCATGTTCACCTGACTTGGGGACAGTGTTTGGCTCTGTCCCTGCCAGCTCTGGTGGATCCCCTGGGAGACCCCGCCCGTGAGGAAGGGGACACGATATGGGGCTCGATGCTGGTGGAGGCTCCAGAGCACAGGCACCCAGCCCTTCACTGCTACTTTCAGACACTGTGCCTGATGCCCTTGAAGGTGCCACCATCTGGGACAGCCCATGGCACAGATCAGTGCCAGAGCCTCCTTTTTGCCGTCCCCTCAGGCCCGTCCAAGCTCCTGGGATACAGGAGGGCCATATTGCCAGCCAGTTCTAATCCATTATTCCTTTTTCTCTCCTTTTACAGGCCTTTGCACTGAAGCCAAGTGAAGAATCTCACAATTGCACTACACACCACTTAACTTTGATTCCTCTGGCAGCAAAGCGGCTCCGCCACCAACAAGACCTCGAGGGCTGTTTTTCCCCTCCCTGCACATCACTCCCATTTCTGTGCCTGGAATCTGGTGCCCAGCAGAAGCTCTAACTCACTGTCCATCCCACTGGACCACTCCCCACCATGTTTCAGCGTCTCACCAGCCTCTTCTTCAGTGACAGCAATGCGCCAGAGGGCCTAGAGGAGCCCAAACCCTTTGTCGAGGAGGAAGAGGAGGAGGATGGCTGGCTCGTAATTGATCTTGCAGGTGAGGAAAGCAGCAGGACTGGCTTCCCACAGCCTCTGTTGAACTTTGTCTTTGCAGAGCAGGGCAAACCCCTTGAGATGTCAGCAGATGAGCTCACACCACATGGGATCAGCTCTGCCCTTCATCCTTTCTCCCCTGGTCCCCTTGCCCTGTCCATGGTGCCCAGCCCTGTGGTCACCGCAGCAGCCCCTGGTGCCCCGCACCTGCTCCTCCTTTTTCCCAGTGATGATTCATGACTTTCCACCAGTGTGGGAGCAGTGTCAGCATCCCTGGCTGGGGCTGCAGCTGCTCAGGATCCTCCAGGTGTCTCTGTGCCAGGATGGGACCCTGGCATGACACCAACCAGGGAGATTATCCAGAGTTTTGATGCGATCCTGCCCGCCAGGGCTCGGTGGGTTGGAGAACGCAGCCCTTGCAGGCTCTGCCCACCGGCTGCAGCTGAGCTGTGCCCTGGCCAGCACTTTTCCAGGAGGAGCCAGGCTCAGCTGCTCCCTGCTCTGCCTCTGCTGAAAGCAAAGCAGGAGCTGGTGGGACACCAGGGTTGTCCCCATGAGAGGATAGGTGGCAGGGCTGTCCCAGCTGGGGATGTGCCACGAGTGATCTGGCAAAGTTTGGGTCATCTGAGGGGAGCAAATCTCAGTTCCAAAGGGGTTATCTTCCCAACTCATTCCCAGTGCCCATGCCAAGCACAAGGGACGTTTGGCACCAGGTCCCTGTACCTAGAGAACCCACAGGGCTCCCCCTTCCCAGGGATGGTGACAACCATCCAGAGCCCTGTTTGACATAACCAGATGAATTCCTCCTGTGCGGAGCTTCTCCAGCTCCATGCAGACCCTGGAGTTTCTGTTGTGGCATTAGTGACTCAGCCAATTGCAATGATATTTTTATGACCTTTTCATTCCAAATCCAGCAGTGACCATAGACAAACTCGCCTGCCTGTGCAGGAGCTCCTGGTGCCCGTGCTCTGTTAGCTGTGGTGCCCCAGCCAAGGGGGTTTAGGAGGAGGGTTTTGTCCTCCCTCCCTCTTGCAGGCAGCAGTCCTCTGAGCAGATGTTCCCTGCCTGTCCCCACCATGCCTGTTTTTGTGATGGGAGTTGTTCATTAGAGTTCTCCCCCATATCCCCTGGAGAGGGGACCAGAGCAGGAACAAGCCTGGGATGGGGGACAGGGATCTCTGTGCCTCGTGGGAGGGAGCACTATGGAGAGCTGGTGGAGGTGATGGGTGGTGTGGGCATGGGCAGCTGTGCAGGGTTCCCTGTCCTCTGGGCTCTCAGCTGACTGTCTGGAGTGGGTCACAGCAGTGACATGGGAGGGGGCTGGTTGCAAGGACGTCCCTGGAGCAGCGGGTGTGCAGCTGCCAGGAGTCTGGGCCAGCTGGCAGCAGCTGCAGTGTGCCTAAAGCATGCCAGAAGGAGCCAGGAGTTTCCCCAGCCAGAGAAACACTGGCCTGTGCCCTGATCCCTGGGTCCAAGACTGCAGCTGGCTCCGAGGGGACCAAGGGTTGACTCTGGTACAAAACAGTCCCATTTTTTTCCCAGTGACATGGCTGGGCTCCAGGTGCAGCACTGGCTTCCAGCAGCGTGTCTGCTTGCGACGATCCCACTGCTAATTCCATTGCCTTCTGTTCCCACAGCAATCCCTGAGCAGTGAGGGACCAGATTCTTTCAGCCCTATTTCTGAGGCTGGAGTTATGTGAAGCACTTTAAAAGTGAAATGTGGAGGCTCCAGCCCCATCCTTCCCTTTGGAGCCGTGGTGGCCAGCAGCTGTTCCCAGCCTGGCTCCCTCCCAGCAGTTTAGGGAGCCTCCAAATTCGGTCCCTCTCAGCCTGATCATTACCCCAAAATGCACCCAAGTTACCCAGATCTTCCAGGAGCATTTCCGATGCTCCTCTCACCCCCTTGCCCAGCCTGGCTCTGCTCAGGACCCAGGGAGGGAGCCAAGAGCATTTCCCAGGATATGGCTGGGAGTATATCCCCAGGGATTTGAGGATCCTGAAAAATTGCTTGTGACATTAAAACCCAGGTTGGCTAAGGATGGGAACAGGGAGCCCTGGAGAGGCTGCACTGAGCCCCCTGCCCCTGTGCCCACAGACCCCTGTTGTGGGAGTGCTGCTGGACTGGGGATGCTCCAGCTGGGCTTGATGGCTGTCTCCAGGCAGACAAATAATCTACAACCCATCATGTCAACAACTATTAATAGCCTGATATCCACTGACCTGGAGAAAGACACTCTCATGTTTGCAAGGCCAGTTGTGACCTGTCCTGAGCCCTGGGCTGGGGCATCAGCTAAGGGAGGAGCTGGAGATGCACAGAGCTGGGAATACCATGCTCATGCAATGCATTTCTCCACGCAAGAACACATTCACCTTTGATTCCTCATGCTCCCTCACCCAGTCACAGGGTCACATGCATCCATATAGATATTGCACTGCCTCCCCCTTCACTGACACCAGTTCCCTCAAATCCCCCTGATGAGTCTGGGAATGGGTTCACCTAACCTTAGGTGCAGGCTCCCCTCCCATTAGACCACCAATAATTCCAAGCACAAGCAGCCCAGGAAAGCAGCAGCCCAAGTGCTTTTGCCAGGTAGAGATGACGAAGGGAAAGCATGGAAGGCTGGCCATTGGAGGGGTGGGGGGGCAGCTCTCGTATCAGGCACCCAAAATTTGGCCTCTAAGGGACTGAAGTTGAAGGCACAGCGAAAACCTTTGCTGAAGAATTTATTCCTGTGATTTCTTCCAGAGAAAAGGTGTGGACACCCCTCTGTGTGTGCTTGGTTTCCATGTTTGCAAAGTGCTGGGTGGTGTTTGTGGGCGCAGGCATGCTGGCGTTCCTCTGGAGCGGCACGGCACGGCACGGCTCAGGTGCCATCCGAAAAGGCAAAAACAGCGTTTCTTGCTGCCCGAACTTTCTTCCTTTTGAGAAGGAAAAAACCCCGTTGCTGCAGTAAACCCTGCTGGTTCCCCCACTTTTTGGTTCAACTTGCCTAACCAGGCTCCTTTCCATGCTGAAGCCGGGGCCCTCGGCAGCGGTGGGTGCTGGTTGGGGGGGGGCACGGCCGACGTGTCCCTCCCCGCGGGGCCGCGCCCGTCTCTGGCGGTGGCTGTGGGGTGTCTCTTGCACTAACGATGCCCCTTTCTCTCCCCCCTCCCCTCCCCACTGTACATGGTATGTGTGTGTGTCCCCGCTCGCCCCGCATGGCTCTGCACCCCCGCCCCCAGGCAGCCGTGCCCGCCCCGGCCCAGCCCGGCGAGGGGGTGCTGGCGGTACCGGGCGCTCGGCGCGGCCCCGCCCGACGCCCCCTGGTCCGCCACCGCCACCAGCCGCTTCCCCGGCTCCGGCCGGTCCCTGCTTGATGGACGAGAGTTGGTTTGTCACCCCTCCCCCCTGTTTTACTGCAGAGGAGCCCGGCCCTGACGGCGTGGGGAGCAGCCCCATGGAGGACCTGCTCATCGAGCACCCCAGCATGTCCGTCTACGTCACCAGCACCCTCGAGGTGGATGGGGAGGGCCCCGAGGACGATGCTGCCGGGTGAGTGCACTTTGAGGGTGTTTGTGAGGGACTGGCAGCCCCAGCACCTGCTGAGGGACCGGGGTCAGCCCTGGCATCCCAAATCCCCTCGTACACCCGAGAGCGTGTCCCATGGACAGAGTGGAGCGGTGGGGGACATCAGTGTCCCCGTGCCCCGTCTCAAGGGAGTACTCTGCACATCTAGCCAGATGCCATGCAAGGCTGGCAGCCCCTGTGTCCCAAAATCCTCTGCTGAGGAGGTCTCAGCAGCGTGTTTGGATGGCCATGGGTGCAGGACCGTGAGCTTGGCACCGGGCTGTGGCAGGAGAGGGGTGTGTCCCCTGCCCCAAGCAGGGTCTTCTGGTGTGCCTGATGCCACTCATGCTGATGCCACCTGTGCTGATACCGCCTGTCACCACATCACCAGTCTAGGGGGTTGCCAGGCTGGGCTTACATCGTTGTTTTCCATAGGTATGGCCCAAGCAAAGCAAATCCAATAGAACAGGTGGCCTTTGGGCACAGTGGTCCCCTGAAGACCCCTGGCTCCCCCAGGCAGGAAGGTGCTGAAGCCCCCCTCGATCCCGCTTCTGACCCCATGCTGGCCCAGCACAGGGGTATCCCACCAGCTTCTTGCCCCAAGCTATAGCTTAGCACAGGAGGAAAATAAACAGAAATGCCCCAAATGGCCCTGCTGCCTGCTGCTCCCTAAGGCCTGTGGGCTGGAGTCCTCCCCACGCGTTCCTGGGACCACAGCCTGGAGCTCTGTCCTTCCCCAGGGCTGCCTCCAGTGCGCAGGGAAAACCTGAACTGTGCACATGCTCAGCCCTGCCACTGCTGGCTGAGCCCCGGCTCCCACCATGCCATGGGGTCCCTGCTGCCCCCCAGTCCCAGCCCTCCAGCATCTCCCCCAAGAGCCCCTCACTGGGACAGGGGAGGAGTAAGAATTCAGGGTAAACTTCACCCTGGGCTAGGGGACACCATTCCTGTCAGGGGACACTGTTCCTGTCAGGGGACACTGTTCCTGGCTGGGGGACATCATTCATAGTTAGGGGATGCCGTTCTTGGCTAGGGAACACCATTCCTGATTAGGGGACACTGCTCCTGACTAAGTGACACCATTCCTCCAGGACTTCTCTTTCCAAAGTCTCCCTGAGAGCCACAGCTTGATCTCCAGAGCTTTAGAGGCTCTTCAGTGATGGAGGGGGCAGAGAATGGCCAAAGGGAACTCAAGACTAGCCAGGGGACAAAAGAGGTCACAGTGAAATGGAGACAGACCAGGCTCAAGGGACTTAGCTACGGTAGGGGGCTGTGGGAACACCCCGTTCCTGGTGGTGTCTGGATTTGTCCAGGTGTCCCAGAGCCTGCCTGTGCTGGAGCATCCCTGCTCTCGGGAGGCTGTTGAGGCAGGAGGTGCCTGGCCCATTCCAGGGCACAGTGTGTGGGGAGGGGGTTGGTGCCCTCAGTGCCCTTCTTGGTGGGGAGGGTGAGGGCAATGCCAGCGCCGCTGACGGCCCCTCTCTCTGCAGGGAGGTGCTGGAGCCGCGGCTGGAGCGGCACATGGTGCACCACGGCCGGTCCCTGGCGGTGAAGGCGGCCATCCTGGACAAGGTGGGGCAGGCGCAGAGGGTGCAGCGGGCCAAGCAACTGGCAGAGCGGCACCGGCTGGGCCAGAAGGCACTGCAGCGGCAGAACCGCGCCCGGCAGCGCCCGCCCCGCCGCACCAAGCAGCTCCCTGGGGCCTTTGTGCACCAGCCCTGCCAGCGCCACTGCAACTACTGACCTCGCCGGGACGGCTGTGCTGCCGCTGCCCCGCCGAGGGGGCCCTCACCCCCTGACACCGGCCTCCGGGAGTGCCGGCCCCCACGGACACCGGTGACACCGGCTGCGGTTCCACTCCACGCCCCCCACTCCCGCTAGCCTGGCCCACACTCCTCATCTTCCTCCACCCGCCCTCACTGCTCCCCTCACCCCTCGTCTTCGATGCCAGCTGGGCCAGCAACCTCTGGAGCTGCCGGCATGGAGGGCCATGCTGACCCCCCCACCCTCACAGCCTCGCCAGCCTTCACACAGGAAATCGGTATTCCCTGGGAAATCACCTGTTCCCGAAATCCATGGCGAAGCCTGTTTGTCCTGACAAGCCTGTGACAACAGTGCCTTTCCTCACTGCATCATGACTCCACGTACAGCCAGGCTGGGATGTCACAGAGACACCGAGCAAAGGCGAAAAGAGAAACAAAGCCACGAGATCTGGGATTTTTAGGAATATCTCATCAATGACACTAAGTAATGCTTCCGCCCTGCACAACCAGCAAATACTCCCCTCCCTCCTTGACTTCTTAGTTACGTTGTTACCATGATAAACCCCCACTGCAGGTCCTTAAGGGGCTCGTGGTGAGAAGCACTCGTGGAACCTTTGTGGCCGGGTCAGCCAGGTGGCTCCTGATGCGTCACGGTGTTTTTTTTAAATCAACCTTAAAAGCAATCTCAGGAATCAAAGCACCATCCCAGCGCCGTGCCGGAGCCCTTGGCCACTGTGCTGGGAGGGGTGGCCAGCCCAGGGCAGTGGTGGCATCACCGTGGCTGGTGACCCCACCCCTTCCTCCTGGAGCCACTCGCCTGCCCCAGCCACACCTCTTTCCCTACAGATGCGCCTGTATATGTGTGTGTATATATTTCCCTCCATACCTTTATACTTGGAAAAGGCACTGTTAAGCCAAGGAGCATCGGCTGCCTGGTGGCAATCCCTGGGAGGGGAGCAGAGGCAGGGATCTGCACAGCTTCCCTGAGGTGGCAAAAGCATGTCGATGGTGGTGGTGAAGAGATGCTGAAGAAGAGGCCAGAGGGAAGAGGCCGAAGTAAGGACAAAGATGGGTCTAGGAGTGGCTGCAAAGGGTCAGGATGGGGCAGGCCTGAGTGAGAGGATTGCTGTAACAGGAGCTGTAACAGGAGCATCTTCTTTCCCGATCCCTGCTAAAAATTGCATCCTTTCCCATCAAGGGCCAAATCCCATTGTAGAATACGTTGATTTTTAATGCAAGTCCCTCTCCTCCCTGTGACAGATTCATTCTGCCTTTGGAAGAACATGGTCTAGACTTTTCACTGGCTCCAGCACCAGCTGAGATGGCTCTAAACCCAGCAGAAATTTGCTGATCGCCCCCAGCTCCCTCCCTTTAGGGACAGGTTTTGCACCTTCTGCCCTGGGAAAGTATCCGGCTTGTGGCCAGCTCACAGCCTGAATTCCTACCCTCTGAAAAAAGATAAACCCTTACAACCCCCCAAAAAATTCTGATTTCACAGGAGTTTCTTCCATTCACCATGTTACATCCCTTAATATTAGCCGGGGACCTCAGCTGAAGGAATTGTGGTGAGCCCAACTTCAGACAGCTGGTAGTTTTTAATTCTTTTAAAGAGATTAAAAACAAACTGGTCCAGGCTCTGGGTTGGGGAGCCTGGCCCGCAGGAGCCGGATGCTGCTGCTCACCTGCAGCGTTTCTCCTCCACTCCAATGATGTAGTGTTCTTAAAAGCACAGAGCTGGGGAAGTCAGTGTTACCCCCTGCCCTTGGCATTGTCCCACACTCCTTGGGCCTCCTGGCAACCTCTGTCCCTTGCTGAGCCTGAGACCACACTGGAGATCGCCCTGTCCCGCCTCTAGTATCTTCTTGGTGAAGACACTGACTGGAGGGAAACGTTTACCCCCTTTGGCTTCCTGGGCTTCACACTAAATGCCTTTTCTTCCCCCTGAAGTGATGCCTGGTGTGAACCAGGAGCATGGCATGTGCAGGGACTCTGGCAAAGGTGCTTGTGATGACAAGCAGGGGCTGAGCCCGAGTTCCCGGATGTCCGATGACGTGCTGCCTTCCCTGTCCCACTCTTCCCATGTTGCTGGATGATCTGCTCTGTGGCCACCAGGCAGAACCATTGGAGGAATCATTTTCTCTCCAGCCCAAATACACATCAAGAAGTGGAGAAGCCACACAGTGTCCTGCCCCCCAGCCCATTCTCCACTGCAAATTCTCCTCCTGCACATCCAAGTCGCCGCCAGTCCCTCCAGAGCACTCCAGAAATCAGAGGCTGGTTGCGACCCCATTACCCTCCACAGCTCCCAAAGGAACAGGCAGCAGTGAGCTCAGGGCAGATCCTGCCCTGTCTCACCTACCAGGCTTTCCTGTGCCCACTGGTCTGCATGGCAATGGTACCCCAGGAGAAATCCCTCATCAAAATCCTCCTCTGTGTCCTGCTCATCTGTTGTGAACCAGAACCTCTTGGCCATGTTCCTGGGGAGCTTGGGGCAGCCATGGCACTGAGACTGACACCCAGCCCCCAGCTCCCAGCCCCCAGGCACCCATTTCCAACAGGTGATGCTGGTTCTCAGAAACGAATGCAAACTGTTCTTTTCCTTTCTTCTTTCCATGCCAGTCTGAGGTGTCTTTCCTCATGCTGTGCCCAGCAAGCACAGGACATGAAGCAGAACTATTATCACACTTTATATCCAGAGTATGTTTATAAAGGATTAATAAATTATTAATGTTTTCATGAAGAGGTTAAACCAGAGTCCAAGCAGGTTAGCAGAGTGCATGTACCACAGCAAACCTCTGCTCCTGCAACCCCCCTCTGTTGTTTGCACACTTGTTGTGTATTAACACCTAACACTCACCTGCCAACCCCCTGCAAGGCGACTGTCACCCCCTAGTGTGACCCACCCTCCCTGTGCTGTGGCAAAAGGGTGTTCAACCTGTGCTCTTGCCCAGCAGTAAGACCTCCTGCCCATTGTTGCCAGAACAAGAAAATTCCTTTTCATTGAGGTTATTTGTCTCCTCGAACCTTAAAACAAATGAAAGGTGCTTAAAAACTGAGAACTTTGGTGTGTGCACCTGTGTGCATGTGTAGATACTTCACAGCCTGGTGTGGGTGTTCAGTATGTGGGGTTGAGGTTTTTAGGGGTTTGTTGGTTGGGGTTTTTTTTGCACCCAGTGTTGTGATGAGTTGGGTGGTGCTCCTGATGGGAAGGTGCTCACAGGGAGCCCTTGGGCTGGTCCTGCTGGGACAACTGGGATGATTTTGCTTTCTTTTCTTTACTTTTGTAGGGGGAAACTACAGCATGGACTCAGGGACAAACCAATCTGCTGGGGTCTTTAAAAATGTCTTTTTTCCAGGCTTCTCTGCTAGGATGTGGGGTTTGGTTTGGTCTGTGAGGGATGTTGCAGGGATGGGGCCTGTGGCAGAACATGGTGGTGAGAGGCTGCCCAGGCTGTGTTGGAGGAGCTGCAGGGTTTGGTGCTCTGACATTCCGGTGTGGAAAAGGAGCTGTGGCCCCTCATGGTGGGGCCATTCTTGGGCAGCAGCCCCTCTTGTTTGTTCATCTCCTGAGAATTCACCTTATAGTTGCTAGAATGTGGCTTGTCCCTTTTTGGACTTTTCTGTGAACAACCAGGTACAGATTTTCAGCACTGAGCCTCCAAGGATTTGGGAAGTGCATCAGAGCTGGACGTTCTGGCCTGACTCCTACGACATCACTGGGATCAGGAGACAGCCAGGATGGGGGAAGCCATTGGAACAATCACCTGGAAAAATGGTGATGTAGGTGACAGGTGGATTTGAGGGAAGAAATTTTTGTATTTCTTGCACTGAAAGCATAAAAAAAGGAAGAATTCCTGGTGGAGAGGCCTGGGCAAATCTCTGTTCAGTAAATGCCAGCTTTTCTGGGCAGCATGGCAGTGCTGGGGTTCAGACAGGTGAGATGAGTCCAGCCACAGCAGCAGCTTTGCAGCCCTGTTCTGGAATTGCAGTGTGGAATGGGCACAGACGGGCAGCTGGGAGGGCAGTGCTGTCAGTGCTGGCTGGAGCTTGTGGAGGCAGCACACCCTCTACAGTGGGAAGGATCTTTCCACCACCATTGAAGCCCCCATGGTGTAGGAATCTTCTCCAAGCAAGATTTGCATCTCAGCTGAGTTGTTTTGGTCCGGCTGCCCTGGTACTTGTGTGATGGATGAACCCGATGTGTGGCGAGGCTCCCCCAGCCAGCAGGACAGGAGTGGGAGGGGTGGCCCTCCTGCAGAAGTGCCGGCTCTTGAGATGTGTCAGGACACCCCCGTGCCCCCCACCTTCCCATAGCTGTGCTTCCTGCACCGGTCAAGGCCAGGCTGGAGGCCACGGCACATGCAGGACACTCACTGGTAGCCACAACAAAGTCCTCACCCCGGATTTTGGCTGTTGCTTGTGCTACAAGGCTGGGGGGGGCTGCTAAGGGAGTAGCAGCAGAAGCCTTCCTCATCTGTGTGAGTGCTGCAATCTGCACTCACAAATCTGCATTCCAAAAACCTCTGCTGCAAAAGCTTCGTCTGGGAGGAAAACAATTCTTTTCATGGGAGTCGGCGTTTCTTTCTCATCATGGATAACATAGATGCATGGCTCATCCCAAAGACTGCTGTGGGAATTTTCTCTCTTTAGGCATGTTTCTAATCAATAATTTTACATCATACCGATACCTTTTCCTCTTCCATCCAACCCCATTGGGGAGAAAAATACCCACTTAGATGTCTTATCATACCAGTCAGAACAAAAAAAAATATGAAAAAAACCTACAGCGAGGTTATAAGCTTGACTCCCACAGCTTTGCAGTCACTCCTGTGGAGGACCAGTATAAATTCCAGTGCCCTGCATAAAGTGGAAAGTAAATGTCATGTGAATTTATTGAAAAACAATTGAGTCGCCAGAGATTACACATCTAATAATTAGGAAACGGACAGTAAGAAGTGATAGGTCACCTCAAGCCAAGCAAGATGGTTTTCAGCATCTGCCAGAAGGCAACACTGAGCCCCGCTGGCCTGGGAATGGATGGTGACGGTCCCTGAGTGTCCAGGTAAAAATGAGAATCCATCTGTGTCCAGCTGGTGCCACGGGGACTCTCGAGCCACCAGAGATTGTCAGCCACCACCATTCCCACAAGCGACTTGGATATGCCTCAAGTTTGCTGCTCCTTTGCTGTCTGCACTCAGAAATGCTGGTGGCAGGAGGGATGTGCAGGCACCCCACAATTGTCCCCAAGTTCTCAGAGCTTCCCACCAAGTCCTTCTCCACCACAGGACTGTGTCTGGTGACCTCCTTAGCACAGCTGCTCACAGGGACTGGAATCTGAGGACAGACATCCACAGCACTGGCAGCCTCTCCATCCCGGGGATCTGCCATGGTCAGACCCACCTATCAGACCTTCTGGGGGCATTAAGAGGCCTTAGTTGGGGCTGATCCCTTTAGGGTTTGTCTTCTTTAGGGTGGAGCTTTCTATTTCTGCCTGTTTCTCTCAGATATGCTCAATACAAAGTCAGTAATTTCCCATCATCCTCACGGGCTCCATCCTCATCCCATTCTCATGATCGGAGTGGCTGCCACAGGTCGCCTGAATGTGGCTGTAGGAAGAAGCTGAATGCAGCAGTGGGAGAGGCTCTGCCTGGCTGGCAAGTCCCTCCTTTGGTGAGAGGTGTCCTCAAACCTGTCAGAGATGCCACTTTCTCCTCCACTTGTCTCCAGGACCCCAGTGGTGGGAGCACTTAGCAGCCGTGGGCTCTGGACAGCCGGACATAGCTTGGGCAGGAGGTCTCCCCCTTCCCTGCCGTCCATCGATGTGTCTTCCACCAGCTTTTCTTTTTGCTTCTTAAAAGAGTCTGTGTCATTAACTAAACCCACAACTTTCCTTAAAGGGATGAGGATGATGAGGATGAGCAGCTCCATTTAATAGCAAAGATGGCTCTTACATGTGATTCTCTTTTCAATTCTTCTGTGCAGAGCGGTGACACCCAGGCGTGTCTCCCGTACAGTCATTCAGAGCCTCCTGGGCTGCCAAGGGGGTTGCTTTCCCAGCCCCAGAGATACAGGTATGTGACCCCATGTCCCAGAGCATGAAAGCTGCTGCAAAGCTTTGGTTCTGTTACAGTTAAACCTGAAAATCCTTCTGCCTTCCACTCTGATCCTATTTCATTACCTGTACGTGGGGAAGATTTTATTCCTTGCAAATGGAGGGGGAAACAGCACAGTAAGTTCTAAGTGTAACATAAAAATGGGTTGCACAGGGAGCCCAAAATTCCTCTGCTCTTTCACATTCACCTCATGTTTCCTTGTTGGGGAAGCTGGGAGCAGCTGTGCCCAAATCTCACCGAAATCTTATCCTCAGCCTTATGCTTCAGGAAGTCGAGGGATGAGGGGACAGCACAAGGTCTAACAGTAAACTAGTAAAATTTTCTCTTGTATCAGAACTGTTCTTGTACAGAGCCACCGAGCACTGCAATATTCTGTCTGTATGTATCAACCCCAAGTATTCTGCTTGTAAAACTCATCCCTGCACATTATCCATCCCTATGCTGGACTGAGTGTACATGTGCCTTCACCCTTTTTCATGGTTTGTCATCTTTTTTTAACACAATTACAGAACTTGAATAAATCACTGAACTGCAGTTACAAGTCCTATGCAAGAGGTGACTGGGGAGTCAGTTTTTGATATTTCTGTGTTTCTGTGTTGTTTTTAAAGTTGCCGTGAAGACTTTTCAGAGAAGCTCAACAGAATGATTACTCCCAAAAACATTTAGATTATTTTTTTTTTTTTAGCTAAAAAGCATTTAGCATTTTGGATGCTAAATCTTTTAGCAGCTTTGAAAAGCTCAGCCTAAACCCCAGTTCCTCACTGAGCCATGCATGGAGAGCAAGAGCAGTAGCAGCAGGAAGGACGAGCACCAGAACAGCCGGCATGTTTCACAGCCGGTGTTTCCTCTCAAGAGAAAGGTTGGAAAAGGTTGCCTTAAGCCTTCCCTAAAATGCATCAGAGAATGTTCCCATCCCCAGCCGCCCTGCGCCCACTGCCAGCCTGGGGCAGAGCGGGCACGTGGCCATCAAGCAGCTCTCCATCACCAGGCTCTGCTGAATGCCTTAACTGGGGCCCAGCTGCCACTCTGGACCTTGGAGAAGAGGCAAAAACAAGGTCCACATTTTTCTACATCACCTATGCTGTAGGACTGAAACCTCGTCCGAAACTCAAAGCTAACAAAATCTGCCCTTTTCGTGTGTTATGTGTTCAGTCGGTGTGAGCAAGGTTAGTAGGGAAAGGGCGTCTCCTCCTCATAGGACACTGTGTAAACATTTGCTGTGTGTCAACAGAGTGAAGGACACGACTGCCTGGGATACGTTGTGTAGTGTGCCTGTGTGTATGTAACCTGGTTTTGGTTGTTAGGTTGTAATGCTGTCTCTTGACTGAGAAAAGAAATCTAATATAAAGAAAAATCACAAGAAATAATAAAAAAAATCTATTTAAACTCTATTTTATGTGCATTCCTTTTAAAGCCTGCAAGTAAATCTGTCTCCAAAAAGCTCTGTTTTTGTAAAAAAGCTTTTAAAAGTCAATTCTGTAAGAGACAGGTAACAGAAGAATGTCCCCTTTGAAGACAGGGATCCGCAGGAGAGGGGATGGCACAGGCTGAGGCGGTGGAGGCACTTTTTTTCCCTTCCACATTCCCAAACCCTACAACTCAGTAGGCAATGGACAGAGCTAAAGCATATGCGGTTTGCCCTGGGAAAGCACAGAATCCCAAATGAGCTGATCCCTGCAGCATCATCTGTTTCTCCAAGCACATACCCTGCAGTGTGAAACGTTTTCACCACCCACTGAGAGGCAGAGATGCCTCCAAGGTGATTAAGGGCTTGGAACATCAGCAGATAAGAGGCTGAGAGCTGGAACTGCTCAGTCTGGAGAAGGTTCAGGGACATCCCGCCCATGTGTGCAGATTCCTGATGGGGGAAGCACAGAAGACAGCCAGAACATTCTCAGCCTGGGGCAGGGTGAGAGGCATAAATTGAAGAAAAAAAAAAGACAGAGAAATGTCATTTAAACACAAGAAAATGTTTTTTTTTTTTTTTTTCTCCTAGAAACTTCTAGAGTGGTTGGTCACAGAAGCAGGTTGAGAGGTTGAGGAGTCTCCATCCTTGGAGATACCCAAGATGGGAACAGACACAGCCTTGAGCAGCTTGGGGCAGGGGTGGGACGGGGCTTGCCCAGCCCAACAGCTGCTCCAGCTCCTCCAGCAGAGCCAAGGCAAGGGGGTGCTCCAGATGTCACACACTTGATATCCCAGTAGCTGGGAGAAGCACTTCAAGGAATTGTTAGGAACTGGGGGTGAAAAATAGGCAGGAGTGAGTTTTGACAAGCTTTCTCACTGGAAAACCAAATTCAGCAGTGGGAGACAATGCATGGGGTTATTTGGGATGGATGGACCTTGGGAGGTCCAGTCCAACATCCTGCACACAGCAGGGTAAATACAGAATTCATACCATGTTGTACAGGGCTTTGTTCAGCCAAAGCCTGAAATTCACCCAAGAGAGATCCACCACCACATCCCGGGGGAATATTTTGTTCTATCCAGTCAGAACATCCTCTCCTTCTGTTTCTTCTGTTTATTCTAGTGGTGTCCTTTCCTCCCAGCACCCACCTCTGTAAGAGCCCAGCTGCATCTTCTCCAAGACATGAAAGTGATGAAGCCCCTGGCCATCCTCGTGGCCCTCTCGTGTGTCCCCTCTTCTTTAGCAACATCTTTCTTCTGTATGTGGGTGTGTGGTGGTGGAAACCAGGTGATAATATTCCAGCTGGAGTCTAACAAGTGCCAAGAAAAGGGGAACAATCACTTCCCTTACCCACAGGCTGCCAATCCTGCCCGCACAGCACAGCCCTCCCTGCACACAGCCAGGCTCAGCTCTCCTCCAGGGCTCCCACTGCAGAGCTGCTCCCCACTCAGGCATGGAAATGGTGGTCAGGCACAGGAACAGGCTGCCCAGGGCAGTGGTGGGAGTCACCATCTCTGGAGGGGTTTAAAAAACATGTGGGCACTTGGGGACATGGTTTAGGGGTGGCCTTGGCAGTGTTGGGGTAACAGATGGTCTTAGATGGTTTTTCCAACCTAAATGATTCTGCAATTATGTGACATTGGCTTCAGTGACTATTACCTTGTACACCAGTAGGCAATTTGTCATTATGAAAGCTGACAACTTATATTTAATGACAATTTATATTTAATTGGCCTTTCGAGATATGTATTTTTAAAATTCAGTAAGAAAGAGAAAAGGTGAAAGTATTTGTGCACAAAGCCCCGAGCAATCTGCACAGCCCGGCTCCTGGTTCTCCTGGGAACACCAAGCCTGACCTACTTTCCGCGGCGGCACAACCCCACCGGGCACCACTGATGGCAGCAGCGTTACCAGATAAACGCAGCCCTCACCCCCTGGAACGAGGCCCTTCCCCTGCCTGTTCCCTGCTGAGCAGCTCTTTGTGGGAGCCTCCTCGCCCGGTGCTCCCTGCACAGATCCCGGGGGGCAGGGTGGCCCTCCCGTATTTCCTTGCTTCGCAGGAACAGCTGCATCAGTTAATTTGTTTGTGGTTAAACAAATTCCTTTCTAAAGCTCCATATAAGGAGCTTGCAGGCCCAGAGCTCTAAATAATCCCTTCAATCCTCCTGTTTGGAATGATGTTGCTGCTGTTGCTAATAATAATTCAACCCAATTTATAGGACAATAACATTTATTTAGAGCATGAGGGATTCCACATTATACAAACCCTTAAATTTATTTTTTGTTTCACTGGTCCATTTCTACAACAAATACATCAGATCTACTATATAATAAAATTATTTACATTTCCAAACAAGATGCGGTTTGTTTATAAACCCTCAGACTGCTATTCACATACAGTACTTAAACAACAGCACAATACATTATTTTAATACCTAAAAATGACAACCCTGTATTCTAAATTGTTTATGAAAAGTGAAAACAAATAAATTTACAATTGTCTTCCCCTCCCCATCCATTTCATACAAACACATAACCTTAATGTGCTAACCCTGGACTTCACTTTGTAAGTCCAGGGGGTTTTAGAAGAACCCAGTTTTTATAACTATTTATCTGTTTTTTAGAAAAAAAAGTCATTTATTGGGAACAGTATAATATTAAAATGACTTACTGTACAGAATTTTATTTAAAAAAGAAAAATCACAGCTCAAAATTGCTATTGGTAAATTCACACTCATTTACAAGTCTCATGTTTCCATGCAGTAATTTACTTGGATTTTCTTCTTTTTGACTGCATTGCACTGGCACTCGTTTCTGAAATCAAGAGAAGAAAAAAAGCATGGATACGGAGTCGGTAAGCCATTCCCCAGAGGTGCACAGATTGCCCTGTTATTCTTCCAAACTCACACCAGAGTGGAAACCTCTGGAGACCAGGATTTCCCAGCACTGGGACTGACTCCTCAGCTGCTGTCACACAACTGGACCCATCGCCCCGACAGCATTGGCAGCCACACACACCACGGTCCCCACGCTGCTCCAGGCACGAGTGCTGGGAGTCTGACATTTATGAAGCCCTAATATAACAGCTTTCAAAAGAAGAGCCAGATATTTTTAACTGTTCTTTAAGTTCAGTTCCCCACGTGCCACAGCTTGCTGGGCCTTTTCCCAGAAGGAAGGACAGCCTTGGGCACCATCTGTGTCTGTCAGCCCCAGGCACCACGGAGATGGTGCCACACATCAGCTAGGGAAAGTGTTTTGGAGCCTGCCATGCAAGTTAAGAACCTGGTTGTCCGAGTTTTTGGAATGTCATTGGAAAACAAGTCTCTTCAGTGTACACTGAGTCACAGGAACACCGCTTATGCAGAGAGACACAAATATTAACACCTGCAGAGCCATGGTGACAGCAGGTGACATGGCCAGTGCACTTACCAAGGCACTATGATCCCATTTCAAAACAAAAAAAGAGTAAGGACCAAGGGCATTTGCATCTTTAGATTTTTTTAAAAAACGTGATTTAAAATGTTGGCAATGTCTCTTTGGCTCTTTAAAATGTTTTCCAAAAGCTATTGCAGCTGTGTATATTTTAAGAGTCAAAAGGGAAAAAATTTCCAAGTCCACTTAAAACCAGAACAGTAGCCGTACATGGCTGTTACACATGGTATTTGAATAAACAATCAAAATTTCAAAATTTAACAAACTTGAAGCTACAGTAAATGCTGAAACAGCCCTTGCTGGAAAAGTACTCCAGAAAGGGAAAAAATAGCAGTATAGTACCAATTTCAGGAGTGAAAGACCTCCACAGGCACGACTACAGCCTGGAGCCCCTCCAAGCAGCAAGGCTGGCTTTGAAGTAGCTTCAGCACTCGCTGTTACCACCCTTGCTGCTGCTCCAAGCTCTGTGTTTGGAAGAAGGAATGGGTCAGCATTGCTCAGTCCCTGTCCCAATCCCTTGAGAGCATCCCTAACATCTCCCCAAAACCATGGACCAGGGCTGACTCTCCATGTGCTCTCTTCTCTCACAGTGACCCTTCTGCCTCCTGCTTCCCAAGGGAGTTCCTACTCCCACCGGTCAAAGTCTGCTCTCTTTCTCCCTGCTGTATTTCAGTTTTTTTCTTAATTGCTGCTTTTATAATGACCTTAAACAGCCTCTGTCTCAAGAGGTAACTCCTCCCACATTCCTGTTACCATGCATTAGGGGGTTTCTCAGGATACAGGTAATGCACTGAGGCCTGGGGCACCCAAACCAGAATCATTAAGCTCTGATTCACTAACCAAAATGTACAACAGAGTAGGCACAAGTGGCAAACTTGTAGGCAGGTCACACTTTCACAGCCACCTCACTACCCTCTGCCACCGAGCACCTGGTTTGGCTCCTGTTCTCTACAGCCTGGAGATAAGGCAGCCACAGCCCAGGTACTCCATGGAGACCTGCACCCACGTGAGCAGCAAACCCCTGAGACACTGCAGCAGATTCAGATGCATGTTTTAAAAGCAAGGATTTTACTCACAGAGGTAAATGAATTACACAGTCAGCACCAACCCCTACGAGAGTTCTGGTATTATTTAAATTTGATGCACTTTCATGTTCCCACATTTTCAGAATCTGACGTGTCACTGGTTGTCATCTTTAGGTTTATCCAGTCAGTGTGTGGGGCAGGTCACACGCTTCAGATCCCCTCAAACTCAGGCAGGTATCACCAAAGGGATTTTACATTGGCTTCACATTTTTCAAACTTTTCTTCACAATCATGAAAGAGAATTTATTTTTACAATAGACTTAGATTTTTCTGCACAATCCTGCCACAAGAAGTAAATGTACTTAAATTCAGCAGCCACAAAAGTGCAGAACAAAAAGATCCCCTGTGTAATCTTTGGGAGTCATTGCACAATGATGTATAGCTGGAAGGCTTCTCTGAAACTCTTAAAGCACAATATTCTTACCATCACACTTTAGTATCTCCAGTATGGAAATGGTTGCTGAAT